AAAAAGCCCGTGATTTCATTAGAAAGGCGCATTAGATTGTGGGGAAATCAATATTTTTTCAACACAAATGTCGCACATGCGCGGCGACCACCGCCCTTTAAAGTACTATTGAAAATGTTGCCGTTTCAGTTCTGTTCTGAAGTATTGCTGGAACTGTAAGGTATGTGATGCGTGTCACTATAGTGCCTCCTGAGTAGTTGGCAAATGTGATGTACAACTCGTTGTTCTGGTCAACTACTTGTTCGAGGTCGGTAAACAAGGTCAACCTACTACTACTGCGGTCTGAAGGGGTTTGACCATTAGAAAGTATGGACGACAGACATGATGGTGGATTATGAAAACAGAACCATGATTCTGCTCAGAGGAATTTTAAAACAATTAAAAACGGGTAATCACAGAAAAAAATATTGAAACAAAAAATGTACAGCAACATAATTGTGAAAAAAAAGCCATGTTCTACACATCTGTAACCGGGATTTTTTTTTGGGGGGGGGGTTGCAAAATATCACAGTGAGTCATGTTTATGATTTTCCTAATTATTGTCTTCCACAGCTATCCTAAGCTTTCGTGATCGCGGCAGCTCACCTGGATACTGAAACCATGGTTACCTGCACCCGAATCATGTCATCAAGTGTTGCACCAAAACCAGAATTGTGTTGGTGTCCATGCTGGTTATGGCAGCACTGATCCACTTTGTATTTTTCCCGAGTATCAATGAATCTTATAACGACCCTTGCTACTTGACCACGGAACAGTTAGATGACCTGCGATACGTGATACGAAATGTTCTTGAAATATATGAAGATATGAACGTCACGTACTGGCTGGATTTTGGTACTCTGTTGGGTGCGGTGAGAAACGGCGATATCATAAGGTATACTATGAGGTTATTAGGAGGATACTGCAAATTGTGTACGGAGACAGTACAGCGGAGGTAGCGCGGAGGTCTATGCGACGGCGTGCTGTCTGAGTGCATATTTTGAGGTATCCTCGTAATCACCTTATTTTTCTTCCAAGGATACATCTTGAGAATGTCGAAATCCAATGTTAACGTGCCAATATTTAGGGATATTTGAGTATGAATCTGACACTATTGCTAATAGTTGTATATTATGATTTTGTTCTCGATTATTTTGACTGATTACTAACGCTTATTTACACAACAAAACTTACAATTAACAAAATTCAATTTTAAACTAAATAATAAAACTACAAAGGTCTGTAGTCTTCGCGCCAGATATGCACCAGAAATGTGTCGCCATGCATTGTAATACCAAGGGATCACTTATATGTATACGGCGCGGGTAGGCGAGGCACAAACTTTTATGAAAATCATGGTCCGAGAGACAAACTTCCTCATATACCCATATTTTGATAAACAAAGTAAAACCCGCAAATGGTGTCGTTTCAACTTTTTCGCAGCAGAAGTCATGGTAAAATGGACTTACCATTGCCACATTTCACACACTATATTAACGACTCTTCTGACTCCTGAAAATGTCTTGAATATGATCAAAAGTGCCAAGTTTATCAACACGCATCTCGCGCTTGCATGGCGAGACGACCACCGCCCTTTAATTTCGAATTCTCGCTACTGAAACATAAATGTATTCTCTCAACACAACCCTTTTTTTTATGTAACACAAACTTATGTTCAATTTCTCACAGTACAAATCAAATGTTTCACAGCACAACTGTAATTTTGTCAACACAACTTATCACAGGAAAAACTAATTTTTCACAACACAACCTGAACTTACTCTATTTTGAATTTTATTTTAATTTTTCAAAAAATAACTTTAATTTCCCATAATGCAACTTTCTTACAAAATTTACTTTACACAATCTAACTTCAATTTCTCACTACACAATAATTGTTGTTGATTTTAGGGAAATCGACACATATCGGATGAATTTAACAAACATATTGCATATTAAAACGGGAGGTTGTTTCACCGAACAAGGAAAGTACTTCCTTTCTAACGTAGGGTATTTGATTTCTAGCCCCAGTCCTTTGGAATAACAGCTCATGTACGGACAGTAATTTAAAGCGGAGGGGGTCGTCACCTGCGCACGCGCGGAAATTGAGTCTCAAGCGATGGTAACAACACACCCTAAACACGCAAAGGCTCATCTGTAGACCCTTGTTTGTAAACAATGACACGCTATGGCCATCTGACGCATGCGCAGGCGACGACTCCCCCGCTTTGACGATTGTTTCTTGAATCCAGGTACGATCATGATGCGGATATTTCAAGGATCGTTCCAGAAGGACCAAAATACAGTTACGGAAAATTCATAAGAAAATTGAAAGAAAGAGAGATATCAGCAAATGCGACTGTTGCTAATTACAAGGGTATGATCGTTGAACTTCATACATGGGATTTACACGAAGAGGAGTTTGATGGGAAAATACAGATTGTTGTTAAAAAGTGGCTGTCCACGTGGTTGAAAAATATGAACTCACGTCTCGACGACTGGCATAACATGAAACTGGTGTTTCCATTGTCGTGGCTACTGCCAACAAAACGAATGCAATTCGTAGGAGTTAACGCAAAGATTCCACATAATACTAACGCCATTCTTTTAAACAGATACGCACTTACATACAGACTAAATGTCTCTTTTCCTTACAAATGGAAATGTTGGATACCGTACTTGAATTAGATCGTCGTCATGTCTAGCTTCCTGTCTGCAGGGCAGAGACCTATGCTGCTCGATGAATATAAGTGGCGCCCTCTAGTGGTGAATCATTTCTATGACGTCCGTAGGTAAAATAGAGGCCATATTTATGTGGTCGTCCGTCTATAAAACAGTAATGTTTTGAAAGATTCATTATATTGTAAATGACAAACGACAACAAAACTAAACATATTTATCGCTTTGGACGCCATTGATTTCATCCAACTACTGTCGTAGGTGTGCTCCGTCGCTAGAGTGCGCGACTTATATATAGAGAACGTGACTTATATATGTCTGATGACGTCATAGAATAAGCATATGCTGAGAACTATGCACTTATTTTTGCTTGGAATTTTAACATTGTTTTATCTGATTGGACAAATGATGACTGCTACTTGGGCAGAGACTGTTCATACTGTTTTGTCACAACTTAGTAATGTTCCAACTCGTGTATTCTACTTTAGGTCTCACATATTTGGTGTACAAATGCCAATACTAATGACAAAGACATGAAACAAATATTTACGTTAGCTCACTCTGCATAAAAATTTATTTAGTTATTAAAATACTTTAAAGCTAAATAATGCCATTGGCGATGGTGTTATCATTGGCAGGCTGCCGAAATTCCTGGAAACTGGCAAAGGGTAACTCTGTATCCAATGCTTGAGACGAGAAAAAAAAAACTAGTATATAACTAAATAATTATCGCCACTCTTATGTATTGTTAGTGGTTTCCAACATTTTGGAAAAGCGTATTTATATTGCGTATATTTATGAATGGTCTTCTACCTTTAGTTTGTCACACAGATATTGATATGTAAGCGGACGACTTCACAGTCCGCACATCAAATAAACTGTATCTGAATTAAATTGTAAACTTACTGGAAATAAGTTGAATAAATGCATTTTAATATCTGAGAATTACTCCAAATTAAACTATGTAAAACACAATATATTGTTGTACTTCGCAACAAAATTGACATGATCGAGAAGTTGGTTTGTTCAGTTTCATGTTTAGAAACGAGATAAATTATTTCATTTTTTTCTTTTTCACGGCAAATAATATACTATTTGTTACGTCATAATGGCCTACGACACTTTCTTATAAACCGTTCAATTGCATAAATGGCGGTAGTCGTTGCGTCGCGCGAGATATGGGTCTCATTTAAACAAAGATGGCGATTTTTACTGTTGCGCACATCAACAAGTACATACTGAAAAGTTAGGTATCGATGGAGTCGTCGGCGGTAATTAGTGAGAGTGGCGCCCAGGGCAAAATTCGTACCCGTGATTTAATTAGAAAAACGCATTGGATTATAGAAAAATCGAAGTTTATCAACACAAATGTCGCACATGCGCTGCGCGTCGACTACCGCTCGTTAAAGCTCTGTTAATAAAAAAGGTATCACGGCCGATGTAAGCACAATCTTATGATTGGTTATGATTTATGGTGCAGCCGCCGCGAGAGGGCGAGATGAATGGCAATGCCTATACAACGAGTGTAAATATATCGACGGCCTTCTCTCAGTATCCTCAGGGGCGGACATCCGGGCATTTTCACCGCCTGGCAACCCGCGGCGGTGAAAACAAAGGCCCAAAACTCGCAGAAAACGGTACTTTGGGGGTGATTGTTGAGACTCCTTTGAACAGTGCAACAAGATTAGCCCTACGTGTGTAACATATATAAATTTGATTGTTCGGGATTACTTCAAAGTTGAGTTTGTATTGTTTTCTCGAATGCATGGTACAGTGGTGCGCGTCTTAGCAACGTGGAACGTCTGTGACGTAGCTCCGCCCCCGAGGATATCGTATTTATATGATATATTTACAAGCCATCTGATGGACTGATAGTGATATGCAGGGATGTGTTGGTAGAAACCATCTGATACGTCTATACCTCGTGGTGCAAATGTTTGCTCTTCCCTGTCTGTTCTGGAACACAATTTGTTGATTGGAAACACATACACACACAAACATGATAACTTTAAATTCAAAGAACATTGTATTCAGTTTGACAACCTTCGTCAGTCGTGTCATCTACTAGTGTTGCCGGGACATCTACGTTTGTGACGTAAAAGTGGCGTAGTTGAGTAGGGCAATATTATTTTAAATAAACAACCATGTTTGGTTATGTGGTCATACGAAATTTAGAATAAAATAAATATCTAAAAATAAACAAAAAATAAGTAAAACATTTATTATTTACTTGACGAGCGACCACCCATCAAACCTACATCGACAATGTGAGTGGCGTACCTAACAACGATCTACGTCACAGAAGCACGATAGAGGGCGCGGCTTTTAAGAAAGATACATTATCAGTAGGAGGTCTTGTTAGCTCTGCAAAAATAGGAATGTTTCTGGTTACCTGGTAAAACTATGCGCGTCACAGCTATTATTTATTTTGTTAGTAGATCTTTTGGATGATTGGTGAAATTAATGGCAATTAAAAAAAACAGATAAAATTGACCAGCCATATTTGTTCCCCCTTTTACTGGGCCTTAAACTCGTCTTAGCTTCGCTTAAACTTGTGTATGTTTCGATAACCGTGACCTTAAGCGACGCCTATCAGTCATTCTTTTATCAGTGTGTTCAGGCCCTGGGGACTAATACAGTATATAATATATTACCTTTCTGTTTTTTACCTTTCATTATTTTTCAGATTTCCCAACTATTATTTGGCAAACATTCCGTCATTAGAAAGGCTATGTTTGATACCCTATAATGAACATTTCCCAAAACATTTAAAATATTTGTTAAATGGTACATCATGTTTGCTAAACTGTATTACTCAGAAGTGGTCTGTTGGCGTCATCATGTCGCCCTCTGGTTCATGTGAGCAAATATTAAAAGTTATGAACTTTAGTCGAAGCAGCCATTTATCATTTTTGTGAACTGTTGGAGAAGATCAATAAATCACTCGTCGCAATCATTCTTGTTAGTATCATCATGACTGGAATCATGGGAACAAGAAATTCAAGGATCTTATTGGTTCTGATCTTTATGTTCTCTTCGTTATGCTTGAAGCTTGCAGAAGGTGAGAAAAGTTCATAATAATTATTTTTATCAATGTGTAAAATATCGAATGTACAGATAAATAATAAGCTAGTTTTATTATCTTTGTTTTAAAAAATATTACTTCTCTTTATCACTTATGAATTCTGATGAAACCAAATTTCAGCGGGCGACTATTTAGCATTTAAAACGAAGTTTATTGTCGGCCATTGAGTTCAAGAAATTGTCAAGACGATGTTCATGGTCGATCAGCAGATCTGAATATGAACTTGAAGAAGGGGACTTTAATATCTATGTCAACTGGTTCCGTTGGTATTCAGAAATGTAACGGGACAAAACAACTAAGTTTTTTTTTTCATTTTAATTGTTCGAAACACATAAAAAAGATGAGCCGCAACTATGTAAATATGTAAATGTTTGTAGAAGTGGCGCATGTTTGTTTACATTGATATTAGTTATCCGTCGTTTGGGTTCGGTGTACTGATACCCAGTGCTGCAGTGTGCGCACGCGCCACATATTTGGAGTATGAAACATTTCTATTTCTTGACAAGATGAAAAATTTACCATTTTGCGGAGCTATCACATTTTTATCAAAATAATGTTGGCGTTCTAGGGCGTGTTCTGTGTTTGCCATGATACTGAACGCGCCCACGACAGAAAGGGAGGTTAGAATTTACATCCGGTCGTCCGTGAGACTGTTTGCAACAGTTGAATATACAAGCTTATATGTTGTCCCCAGAAATACTTTACAGAGGCATTTACGGATACCATGAGAATGTAAATAATATTTTTTCCATTTTCATTTTGAGTGTTTGAATGTAAAACAAATTTTCAATATTTTAAGTGTGTGAGCTTTTTTTTCGACGCTAAATATTATCACGGTAGTTTACATCCCATAATATCGACTTACTATGTCATCATTATTCAGATTTATTTTCGATGAAAACAATGTTATATGTCATTCCATTTTATTGTTTCGCACTCAGTTTCAGGAAAATTATACGATATATTTATATAAGGGCATATTTCGCAATGATCACATTACAAGAACATATCTGCGAATTCTAAGCGAAAAAGTAATTTATGAATATCATAAAGAAACAAAAACAAATGATATTACGCCAGTCAAGTGAGTCGTCCGATATTTTCGTTTAGATGTCCGCTCCGACAAGATATATTGTATTCCCATTGAGTCATTCTATTTTGTATATGAGTTGTTCATCTATCAATAAATGTATTTGCATATGATTAAACGTTTCCATTAAGTTTCCATTATTTATTTATTTATTTATTTATTTATTTATTTAGGCGCTGACGACACTGCCTCTATCTCAAGCTGGGAAGACATGGATATTAATTTAAAAATGGTAGTTGTCTCAACCTCTGGATTGCTGGCGCTTCTGCTGCTCTGTTTTATAATATTTCTATATGTGGTATATACCGCCAACCACACAGAGATGGGACGAATGTATATGGAAGGCGTGAAATAGAGAAACTTTAACCATGAACTTAAATAAACTCTGTCATCGTGGTCTAATGCATTACTGAGTAGCAATGTCATGTGTATATGAATGATATATTAAAAGATCAACTAAACTTTTTTTTCTTTAAATACTAGTATTAGTTTATGGTACCC